GTCTCCTTTTCTCTTCATTGGTCAACCAAGGAAAGCCACCTGCCTTCTCCGACAAACGGTTTTCAGCATCATCTTCTCAGTTGCCGTGTCTTCTCTCTTGGCCAAAACGATCACGGTGGTGCTGGCTTTCCTGGCCACAAAACCAGGAAGCCGAGTGACAAAATGGTTGGGGAAGAGCTTGGCCAACTCCATCATCCTTTCTTGTTCTGCTGTCCAAATTATTATCTCTTCCATCTGGCTTGGAGTTTTTCACCCGTTTCCTGATGCTGATCTCCACACCCAGCCTGGAATGGTTATCCTGCAATGCAACGAAGGATATTTTGTCATGTTCTACCTTACACTCAGCTACTTGGGCTTCCTGGCTGCCATCTGCTTCACAGTTGCTTTCCTGGCCAGAAATCTCCCGGGGGCCTTCAACGAAGCTAAGCTGATCACCTTCAGCATGCTGGTCTTCTGCAGTGTCTGGGTGACTTTTGTGCCCACCTACCTGAGCACCAAAGGGAAATACATGGTGGCCGTGCAGGTCTTCTCCATCTTGGCCTCCAGTGCTGGTCTTCTGGGCTGCATCTTTATCCCCAAGTGCTACATTATCCTTGTGAGGCCAGATCTAAATGCTAAGGAACAGCTAATGATAAAAGTACAGAATTTATAGTAAAATTGCTTCATAAGCTCATAATGTTTAATTTTTCATTGCAGTTATTATTGAGTTTTATGCTTCCTTTGCATACAATTAAGGTTACTTAAAACAGGAAAAAATAAAAATATGAAGTGTTTATTCTCCCAAAACCATTTGTTGATATATCCCAACAAGAATAACCCCATTGCAAAACAGCAGTTGGAAGGCTCAACATTCTCTGTGAAAGAATCCCCAAAAGAAAGAAAACAGCCTGTAACCAGATTGGTCTCTTATCCAAAAAACTTCACGTGATACTCCGGTCCACAAAAGGGAAGCTGTTGTCTGTTAATGTGGCCTAGGACTGGGTTAGCTTTTTTGGCAAGTTCTGTGCCCTGCTGGCTTGATCAGAGCTATCAACTTTAAAGGAGATGTTCTCTAAAGATGTTCTTGGTAGATTGGTAGATTCTATGTGAACTGAATGGATTTCATTCCCTGGGAGTTGAAGGACCGTCCCAGCGAGATGAGAGGGAGCCATGGAGATAACTCTGGTGAGGCCCAGGTGGCTTAATAGCATCTTAGAGGACAAACTTGCCCTTTCAGGGGAGAGACTGAAAGACCCGACCGGGGACAAAGTGGCCCCTGAGGCTTATTTCCCACTGGGACAAAGAGAGCATCCAGTCGTGATTCAGCTCCATTGGATTCAGCCTTGGGCTGAACTTGGACAGCGGCCAACAGAATTGGCTTTTCCTTTGTCATTTGAGAACAAGGAAGAAAGGAAGTTGAGGTCATCAGCAACACAGCAACACAATCCCTGGCAATTATGGCTCTTTCTCACCAGCCGCCTGAAGATCCTGGTGTGCAGAGGCTACACAAAGGAGCCCTGCCCTGTATTCTAAAAAACGGCCACCCGACACCCCCATGTTGGACACGGTTGACGTATTCCATGTTATAGCTTGTACTGAAGGTTCCTCAGTGTCTGAGAACACCAGAAAGTCTCTCTTCTCCACATTCAATCCCCACTGGCGGTCCTCCACCCTGGTGACCAGACTTAGTCCGTTTGAAACAGGTCTGGTAAATGGAGAAAAGCCCCCATATCTCTCCCACCTTGTTGAGCAACTTCACCCTCAAAAGAGCATCTTTTGGTTGGTGATGAGTCTCTGCCTTTCTAAACTCCCTAATGTCAGTTTGGTTGCAGCCTCCTCAGGCAGAACCACGGAGCTCATGAGACCTGCTGCTACCTCTCCATCTTGGTCCAAGTAAATTTTTTCCATGACATACTTCTGGGCCTTGAGCCTTTCGTAACCAGTCCACAAAAGTCCAGAAAGACTGGATAACTCTGTCCTAAACTGTACAGGTGAAACTCGAAAAATTAGAATATCGTGCAAAAGTTCATTTATTTCAGTAATGCAACTTAAAAGGGGAAACTAATATATGAGACAGACTCATTACATGCAAAGCA